GTGGAGACCATCAACTCTCTGCACTGGAGAAGTCAGTTTGCGCTGAATAACTACTGGGCATCTGTGGGGAAAAAAGCTTTACAGCTCATCGGATTCCTCGAGTATAAATATTCTGATTCCAATGAATGACAGGCAGTTGTTTGGATTCGAACCCAGCGTTCCAGGGCGCTCAGTCACTTATATATCGCAGCAGGAGGCCTCAATGCACTCTGTTGGCGTTTTTCACGCTGTTATTGGAAAGTCCTCTTTCGCCCTCAGTAAGGGAAAGAATGCCCCACCGTTGACATTGCATTGCACTCGGTCTCATTAGAGACTGGTTAGGCTCCTCTCGCCTGGCATCCATCACAGTGAGTGTCGGATCTGGTCCTTTGTGGACGACAAGCAAGTGTAATCCGAATGAGACGTTCAGAGTCCTTGGCACCAGCTTAAGAAAGAGTAGATGCATTTGACCGACAGCCTCAAGGCTGCTCCTGGCATTGACGGATGCGTCAATCTGCATCGCATCACGTGGTGGTGGTGGTTGGTGGTGGCGATGACCACGAGGCTAGTTGTGAGTGTGATTTGTCAAATTTCTAATTGGGGGTGGAGGAGGTGGGGATAGTATAGAAAGGTTGTCACCAATCCGCACTGACCAGCTTAGTGATGTATGGTCAAACAATCCACATGGCGGACACAGCATCTAGAGGCCTTCATCCAATAATATACCGACATAAATGTTCGTTAAATATTGACTTCATGTGTGAAATGCACTTCTAAAGCATTTAACAATCATCGTATTCACCATATTCACCAAACAACTCTCACCCTTCCAGTATTGAAAAAGGTGTCCCTCGGCTTTTTGGAAAACTGGGAAACATTTTGCCCTTACTTTCCGTTTAATGTTTTTTGTAAGCGTATTTTTTTTTAAACAGAGGCACAATTATTCGGGTTGTCCGTCTGTCCAAACAAAAAGTTTGCGTAAATGTTGAGAAATTAATCCTAAGTCACATTCCCTCCGTACGTCGCACGGGAATAGAAATTATGACATCCTAGTTATTTGTATTCCCCCCCCCCCCCCTCGAATTTGGCGCCCCACTTAAATTGGCGCCCTAAGGCGACCGCCCACGTTTGCCTCTATGGAGGGGTCGCCCCTGCTTAGGTTATCCTCAATTATTGTTTTTTTTATCATCTACATCCCTCCCACTCGCTATACCCCACCTGCGGCCTAGTGACTTGCCCAGGGAAAGCCCACTTCAGTTGGGCAGGAATCTAGGCCACGCTGTGGTCAGGAGACGAGGGGGGGGGGGGGGCATTGTGATGATGCTGCTGCTGATGGTTTGAGAAGTTGATAAAAAAAACATAACATTTGTTTAACGTTATTCAAGATAACGTTTCTTTCAAAGGAACGTCGGTGCTATGGTTAATTAATTTCTTGTTTAATTCATGAATTACACACTGTGTTGCGTATAATCCGTTAATAAAATAAAAACAGGGTTAGGTTGTTGAGTGAGCCCGTGGTGTCATGGGCCATGCCATCCTTACTATGGCGAGTTGGCCATTGTGAACCCAGCTAGATTTTTTTTAAGTCACCCAGGACCAGCACATTAAAGACACAGGAGGCCTGCCTAGTCGATGCTGACACTTTTGGTCCGGTTTGATTCCCCAGTGACCCTTGGTTCGCGAGAGCTACGTTACACCTTGTGGGTGTGCAATGTGTGTGTGTGTGTGTCCGATGCATTGGCCTCTGCAGTTGAAAAGATTTTCGTTTCGTTTGTTGCAAACGTAGAACGTCCTAAATTGCATTCGGAGCATTTCATTGCAATGTCATGGAACGGAAAGGCGACGACGGGTGAATATCTCGTGAACAAAAGAACCGGTGTTCCGACAAATGTGTGCGATTCAATAAGGTCCAGTCGCTCGTTTCGTTCCGTTCCATGAAAGCCAAATGATCCAGCGCGCTCCCGTCTCGTTCCATTCACAATCCCTCGGTACAACTGCATGAACTCCTCCTCGATAAAGATCGACAGCCTCACAGCCCTCCGCGGAGACCCGCTGCAACGCCAACCCCTTCAGCCATCATGACCCGACCCACGCATTCAAACCATCGAGATATTGAATGCTCCTGAGAATGTATCCCCTCCCACCACCACTACAACCACCCCCAGAACACGTGTGGTTGCCACTCCTTTGACGTAACTGCACCTGTTATCAGATTTCATTTCTTCCCCTTCTCCTTTCCTGTCTCTTCCCTCCTACACTCTCACCACCCTCGCCCCCCTCCCCCACCTCCCCACCTTTCCTGGCCACCGTGCAGTGAAGGCAGAATCCTGGTCCTCTCGCTTGTCATGGGACTTTCCGAGCAGGATGATTTTGCTAACATTCCTGACCCTCAATCTCCCAATAATCCATCCGACAACAGGTAGGATACGTCCGTTTGTCATTGCTCATTCCCCCCCCCCCACCTCCTCCCACTGTGCCATTATTCCCCGTGGCTTTCTCCCCATCCCCTTTGCACGCCTGTCCTTTATTCTTCTCTTGCATCGACATGTGACGCTGTATCGACATGCGCGAGGCTAAGTGGAGCGCATGGCACGGCTGGTGCCCTTTGTCAATCCACTTTTGGGTGAAGGCCTCATCCACCCAATGCCCCCTCTCCCAATGTCAGTCGTGGCAGCCGTTTGAGCAATACTTGAGCACGCTGGCCATTGTGAACAATTCGCAAATGGTAATGAGCGTGAGCATTTGGCCAGGAAGGTCTCAATAAGTCTTGTGCCGTGCGTTCTGGAGGGTCCTGCTTTACACATTTGGAGTGCTTTGGCCAACTGGAAGTTTGGCTTTGTGTGGAATAAAAAAAACCCAAATCATTCTCCAAAAAATTCCAGCTGTGCACGGATGCATTTAAGAATCCAATGACATACTGCCCTGTACTGGCCACCTCACAGCTCCCAGAGCTGAACATAAATATATATATACAGTATATGCCAAGCTGAACATTCAACGAGCAGTGACCCATCCCATCATCCCACCGTGGTTGATAAACTGCACGCAATTTCGTGGGATTTATACAGCGGTCATCCTATGGATAGACTTGCCCTCGCCATGGGAATGTGGAATTTCCACCGCCGGCACGGCAATAGCCGCCCCATGCCGCTCATTTTGAGCAGTGAGACACGTTGGCTTCCAACTGCAATGATGATAATTTAAAAAAAAAATGTGTAAGCTGTTTGCAATCCACTGTTGGACACCGAAGGCCTTTGCCACAGTCGGGTTTGACTTATGGCACCAGAAACTCTGCGCTGCATACAGAAACATGTTGTCATGTAACCGCTGTTCAAGTGTACATCCCTACCTATACACACGCCATTCCGCAAAGGTGCATATATATTGACGTTGTACATTGTACTCTCGGGGCTTAATTTCTCACCGTTTGTTTCCCCGGGCTCGCCGGTAGCACTGGTGAAGTAGGCCCCACGGCCAAAGCGAGAGGCATGCTCGATGTGGTTGTGCTGGCTGCAGAGATAGTTTTGATTCGCATAGAAACGACTGCAATTAAGCCCTGGTTGTATCGATATACATCGTGACGAGTCCAGTATACATGTCCTGCCATCTGACCATGAGCATAACGGACAGCTAGGCTATGATGGGATGATGGAGTTTTCTGAGCAACCTGTAGGATGTGACCAACAATGTGTGTGTGATGTGCGTGTGTGATGTATGTACATGTGTGTGGTGTGTGCGTGTGTGATGTGGTGTGTGTGTGTGATGTGTTGCCAAAGCGCAGTTCGGACGGTGCATCCGCCGGTCAGCCTGTTGGTCTGTTAAGCTTTAACTCCTGGGTTTTTCTTCCCTGTGACCTCCTGCCAGCGAAGCTTCGCCCACGCTCCACGTGACCTCAATGCGCACCTAGCCTGGCACGGGCACTTTGGCGGTAGTGATGACTTGCGCTGGTTGTTGTACCATGCGTGTGTGTCGGTGTACGTGCATATTTGCGTGTGTACTGTATTTGGGTTTGTTCTTTTGTTTATTTGTGTATGTACATGTGTGTATGCATTGGTATGTGTTTGTATTGGTACGCAAGTTTTTGCGTGTGTGCGTCTGTGCGTGTGCACCTTAACGCATAGCGGTCAACAGTGGCGCATGGGTTCGTGCAGCTCACTGCTGACGTCTGTGGTTAAATTCAGTGCCATGGAAATCAGTGGCAAGCGGAATCGGATCTGATTCTGTGCAACCTTTAGGTCGCCTAAGCCATAAATATTGCGATGGTGGACAACGCCGCACGTGTCTGCCTGTAATCCACCACTGTGGAGGCAGCAGCGAGGGGTTGGTGGATCACCGCACACAGGATCCGTACCCCTGGCTCGCCAGGAGAAGACGGTACAGCAAGTGGACTCATCTCCACCTGTTTCCATCTGTACGGGGAGAGAGCGTTGCCCCGAGCACGTGTGGGGGTTTTCTCCGCCCGAGTAAAACAAACGCTCAACATAATTCGGCTGAAGACATCTTAAATTGAAAAGCCCGTGGGGCAGGATCCTCTTGCAAAAGAGTCCTTGGACTGAGTGGATAATTAGGTATCATTTTAAATGAGTACCTGTTGCCGTGTGTCAACGTCAACACTGCGGAGATGTAGCAAACGGTGGTGGTGCTGCTGTTATCCTTGTTACTGCTGTTGATGTTGATGTCGGTGCTGTTGTTGTGGTTGCTGCTGATGCTTAGGGTCGCCACCTTGTCCACTCCGGACCACAACCCAGACAAACCTCTCGGTCAGCTCTTGGTCTATTATCAGAACTGCGCCGTTGTTATACTGCAGTGAAGTTCAACGCAGCGATACTGATACATTACCAGACCTCGGTTTACAAATCTACTTCTGACACCTGAACGCAGATGCCAATTCCCAGACCGTGCCGGGTCAAAACCCAAACAGGTGACGACCCTGGATTTGCTGCTGCTGCTGTTGTTGCTACTCTTGTTTGTTGTTGTTTTGTTGTTGTTAGATGAGAGTGCGCGCGCATTGTTGTGGCCAGGCTGGGTGGTCCCGGGAGGGGTGCTGGCTCCATGCCCGCTCAAGCTCAGCAGGAAGGCGAGTTCGATCGACGGACAGAGACCCGCTCCTCCATCTCGGAAATCGTCAACTCCATCACGAGCGACATGCTCATGGTGAGCAGTGCAACAACCCGCACCCCCCCCCCCCCGTCCCGTGCAGCGGTATCGTGGAACCGTACGGGGGTGGAAAGGTCCTTTATTCAACGAGGCGTCGTTACGGCATCATCTGGGAGACTGCAGTCATCGGGGTGGCACGGTGATGGGACCCGTGCCTCGCGGCAAGGAGGGCCTCGCTCCCGACTTGGGTGCATCTCCGCGTGGAGTCTGTACGTTCTCTCTCCGCCAGTTCTGCCCGGGTATCCTCCGAGTTATCTACAAACCGTGCAATATGACGGGAGTTTGATTAGACGTCTCGATGTAGCAGGAACCTCCTTCAAATGAGTCTTCAGACTCTCCGTGTGGCTTCGCTGGGTAAGTAATTGTTATTAAATTATTATTGTTATTATTATTTTTGCCAGCCATGAAGTTTAGCCCATCGTCGCCACGGGCGTACGTGAGCACGGAACCCCGCCAGAGGAGAGGGCGGAACTTTACGCTGCTGGCAACGACTCCACAGCAAACATGCAACGTCGGGCCGACGTTGGTCCGACGTTGGGCCAACGTCAGTCTGACGTCGGATCAATGTCAAGTCGACATCAGGTCAATGTCGGGCCGACGTCAACCAGACGTTACCCCTCCGCTGCACGTCTCCTGGGTCTCCACCCCCCTTCCCCCCGTTGTTCAGTCACCCGCTTGTCACCCCGTCATCGCCACCGTCGAAGATCGTTGACGCGGAGGGCAACGCGACCGGCGCGCGCCTCCCCTCCCCTTTTCCCAGATCTCGCCCGACTCGGACGAGGACGCGGGCGCGACGGAGAATCTGGGCAAGATCCAGTTCAGCGTGGGCTACAGCTTCCAGGACATGACACTCACCGTGAAGATCCTCAAGGCCGTGGAGCTCCCTGCGAAAGACTTCAGCGGCACGAGCGACCCCTTCGTCAAGATCTACCTGCTGCCCGACAAGAAGAACAAGGTGGAGACCAAGGTGAAACGCAAGAACCTCAACCCGCACTGGAACGAGACCATCCTCTTTGAAGGCGAGTGCTGCCCCCCCCTTGGCTCCCCCCCCCCCCCCCCACGCAGCTCCCCCCACCCAGCCCCCCCCTCACCACCTCCCCGCACGTCGCGACGGCCTCGTTCGTCGCGCGGTGCACTCTGGGGTTTTGCGTCGAACTGGGACCCGTGTCGAACATCCGACGGTTCGCCAGCATTAGTTCAATCGAGCCCGACTCCGCTGCCGCATTTCGCACCGTATGTAGCCAACCGTTGTTGATCGGAGGTTGCGGGGTGAGACACTGCATGTCGAAACCAGTCCCTGCCTACAGCACACCTGGCGGTTCACCAGCGTTGTTTCCAGCGAGCTTGACTCGGCTGATGAGACACCGCCTGTCGAAACCGGTCCCATGCCGCTGAAATTATGCCCTCCCAGGAGGCCGTGCGGCCAGTGGGATGTGTGCAATGACACGACGACCCGGAGAGGGAGACACGCACAGGAGGACGAACTTGATGCCTCATTTATTTACTTCGCCGTTTCGGCGGCGCTTGTATGCACAGTGCGTACGCTGAGCTTCTTTCGCGCCGCACGTAGCCGACCGCGATAATCGGAGGCGCTTGCGTCGTCCGCCGCAGGGTTTCCCTACGAGAAGGTCATCCTGAGAACGCTGTACCTGCAAGTCCTGGACTACGACCGCTTCAGTCGAAACGACCCCATCGGCGAGGTGTCGCTGCCGCTCAACAAGCTGGACCTGTCCAGCATGCAGACCTTCTGGAAGGACCTCAAGCCTTGCAGCGACGGCAGCGTGAGTGTCTCTTTGCGCGTCGGTGGTCGAGGCAAGGCTGAGAGCGTTGCACGCGCGGCGGTGGCGTGGCCCGCACGCACGCGCGCGCCGCGCTTGCGCGAGTGCCCTGCTGCTGTGTGTGGAGCAGCGGCACACCTCCGGCCGTTGTTTGATTATCTTAAACGGGTGCGGTAGAAACCCCCCTTCTTGACGACGGTGATTGGTTCCACGTTGCCGGTCGCTGAAGCTATTTGGTCGTTAAGCGAGTATAGGAACAGCGCACGTTAAAGGCTTAATTCGTTACGATGGCATCAAAAGTTTAGACCACTTTTTTTCCCAAAGAAACTTACTTTATAATCAAGTTCTTACTTTATAATATTTGAGCAATGGATATTAATATGTAAATATACTAGCAACATTATGAACACATTAAAAAAGAAAAAAATGGTTAATGAATGCATTGATATTTACTGTACCAACAACAGCCCGTCGGTAAGCGGACACATTGGGTTTTATGGAGGCACTACACTACTATACACTACACTATACACTACATTACTATACATTACACTATACACTACACTATACACTACACTACTATACACTATACACTACACTATACACTACACTATACACTACACTACTATACACTATACACTACACTACTATACACTACACTATACACTACTATACACTACACTATACACTACACTATACACTACACTACTATACACTACACTATACACTACTATACACTACACTATACACTACACTATACACTACACTACTATACACTACACTATACACTACACTATACACTACATTACTATACATTACACTATACACTACACTACTATACACTACACTACACACTACACTATACACTACACTATACTATACACTACATTACTATACATTACACTATACACTACACTATACACTACATTACTATACATTACACTATACACTACACTACTATACACTACACTATACACTACATTACTATACATTACACTATACACTACACTACTATACACTACACTATACACTACACTATACACTACACTACTATACATTACACTATACACTACACTATACACTACTATACACTATACACTACACTATACACTACTATACACTACACTATACACTACATTACTATACATTACTATACACTACACTATACACTACTATACACAACACTATACACTACTATACACTACACTATACACTACATTACTATACATTACACTATACACTACTATACACAACACTATACACTACAATACACTACACTATACACTACACTACTATACATTACACTATACACTACACTATACACTACTATACACAACACTATACATTACACTACTATACACTACACTATAATACATTACACTATACACTACACTATACACTACTATACAGAACACTATACACTACACTACTATACACCACTAATATACACTACACTACTATACACTACACTATACACTATACATTGGGTTCTATGGAGGCCAATAGTTAAGCGATTAGTCATTAACAGGGGTGGTCTTTCAGAGAGGTTCTACTCTACACTACACACTACTATACACTACACTATACACTACTATACACTACACTACACACTACTATACACTACACTATACACTACTATACACTACACTATACACTACACTATACACTACTATACACTACACTACACACTACACTATACACTACACATTGGGCTCTATGGAGGCCCGTCATTAAGCGGATTAGTCCTTAACAGGGGTGGTCGTTACGAGGGGTTCTACTGGGCCCGGTGCGGCGTGTCGTAAACATCAGCGCTGGGGGAAGACAAAGGCGGTCGGGCGCGCCGGCCGGCCACCCCACCCCCCTTGCGTGCGCCGCGTCGGCCTTCGTGGATGCTGCCCCCGGAGGGTCTGCTCGTGGCTACGCGGTGGCGGGGGCGGGGAGGGAATCTTCGTCTTTGTCTCGGCGCAGGGGAGTAGAGGGGAGCTGCTGCTGTCGCTCTGCTACAACCCGACAGCCAACAAGATCACCATCGCCGTCATCAAGGCCCGCAATCTCAAGGCCATGGACATCGGCGGCACGTCCGGTGAGAGAGCCCGCGCTCGCGCGAGCCTCCCGGCAGCAGAGCAAGGAAGGATTTGCTCAAGTAATCTGTGCGGGATGTTTTGAGCCGGGGGTTTTTCCCTCCCGGGGCCCCCCTACGCGAGCTCTTCCCACGCGTTAAGCCGTTGGCAGCAGCGTGCGGTGGGCAGCACCCTCCTGGAAGCGAGTCCTGAGACTCGCCGAGGCTTTCCGACGTATTGCGTCTTGCTGCAACAATAAATGCTCTGCTACGTGCATTGTCTTTGCACTGTTTTCGCATTTTGGCGCTGTTCTTTGGCCTCGACACTTGGTGAGACTGGGCTATAAAGAAGGCTGTCTCTGGTGTGCGCAGGTTTCAAGGGCCATGCAAATGTTATTACGGCATTTATGTTTGCATGCTCACCACGAGCGCGTGTGGCTAATGCAGACTCGATTCCTTGCAAAAAGGTTTCTGTTTGGTGTTTGAACATCTTAACACACCTGTTGTTGTATTGCCAGAAAGGGTGAAACCTACTCTCATTTGCTGTGCGATAATGATCGTTTTTACAGTTGGTGCTCACGCGATTCCAACGGTGCAAGGCTTTCGCGACGGAAGCTGCTAAGTTTCACAGACAGTCTCCAGGGTGGCACCACTGCATCTTGAACGTCCGCGGTGAAGCAGAAAGGCCGGTCGTGCTTAATTATTGATGCCCCCCCCCACCCCAAACCCCCCGCAGCACTTACCAGGGCTGCCTGCCAGGTTCGAACCGCGAGCGCTCCGCGACGGGGCAGAGGTTAATCGCGGCGTCGCCGCACCCTCCTTGGCGCGTGCGCCTGCATCTCCGTAGAGAGCCCCCCCGAGCATACGGCGCGTTCCCCCAACGCAAGGGAGGGGGAGGACCTGTGGCGCCTTCGTATGCACGGGAACGCACTCTCACGTAACGCTCGCCCGCCCGCCCGCCCGCCACCCCCGCGTAGACCCGTACGTCAAGGTGTGGCTGATGAACAAGGACAAGAAGGTGGAGAAGAAGAAAACGGAGGTGAAGAAGCGCTGCCTCAACCCCGTGTTCAACGAGACGTTCGTCTTCGACATCCCCACGGAGAAGCTCCGCGAGACCACCATCGTCGTCACCGTCATGGACAAGGACAGGCTGAGCCGCAACGACGTCATCGGCAAGGTGCGGCCGCGGCGCGCCTGGCGCACTCCGGGGGAGCGGTGGGGGGGGAGCGGTGGGGGGGGGAGCGGTGGGGGGGAGCGGTGGGGGGGGAGTGGTGGGAGGGAGCGGTGGGGGGCAGCGGTGGGGGAAGCTGTGGAGGAGATGAGCACCAATGCCTCAATGCTCATTTAAGCAAACAAACATCGCTTTGTCTCACATTTATTCCAAACGTAAGTTACCATTGTTCTCAGGTTGTGTGATCCTCTCTCTGTGCGTCTGTCTATGTGTCTGTGCGTCTGTCTGTGTGTCTGCGTGTCTGTCTGTCCGTGTGTCTGTCCGTGTGTCTGTCCGTGTGTCTGTCTGTCTGTGCGTCACCGCCATCCATTGCCCGTAGATCTACCTGTCGTGGAAGAGCGGCCCGGGGGAGGTGAAGCACTGGAAGGACATGATCGCCAAGCCCCGGCAGCCCGTGGCGCAGTGGCACCAGCTGAAGGCGTGACCAAACCCAACAGCGACAGAGACGATATCAACGACAACAACAACAACAACAATGACGATGATGACGATGATGATGATGATGATCTAAACAACAACTGTGGCCGGTAGGCCGTCTCCGAAGGGAGGCACGGGTGGCAGAGGGACAGAGCGAGGGGGTCCGAGAGCCACACTTCCACCCCCAGCAGACTCGTGGCGACGAAGCGCAATGCGGGCGGCGTTGGGGCCCGTGGTGGTTTACGGCATCTCTCTCCGTCTCTCTTTCTTTTTTTATCATCGCCGTCGGCCGCTCGGCGGAGGTTCTCCGCGCGCCGTTGGCACCCGCTCGTATCCGTCGTTCTTCCTCTCCGGCGTTCAGTGTTTCACGGCGGGAAGCGTTGGGGTCCCCCCGGAGGGAAATGTACCGCGGAACACGTCGGCGGCGGCGGCTCTTCCTTTGTTTTTCGTGCGCCGACTGCCGGCACCCGCCACCCCGTCCCTTGTCCCATTCCTCTCTCTCCACGCCGCCGTCTCCGCGGTCGCCGCTCGCTTTAACCGCGCGGGCCCTCGGCTTCAGGCAGAGGTGGGTGGGAGGGGGGGGGGGTTGGCGATCAGGGCACCAAGAGTCCCCCACCTAGCGGGCACCGTAACGACTTCCGTGTCTCGTCGCGGGCACCGTAACGACTTCCGTCTCGTTCATCCCTTTTCCTAAATGGCTCGCAATCCGAGCGTCTGCCGCTGATCGCGCGTCACACTCACACGTGACATCCAACGACATCAAACAACAGGGTCATTACCAGCCGATTGATATTCTTTGGGATGGGGAAGGGGGAGGTGGTGGTGGTGGTGTGCTGGTTGGTGATCGGGATGGCAACAGATTTGTTGCTCGCCCGGGGGTGTGCGGGGGACTTCCGCTTGCGCTACGAGGCCCGGGGCCTGTAAAACCCCGCGTTGCCGACCCGCGTGATGTTCTAACGCGTCGCTCGGGCTGGCTCCTCTCGCACCGCCGGTTGGTTTTTCGTTCGACGATGCGCCCCCTGCGACGGAGCTTTCTCAACTCCCCCTCTCTCGTCCATATCTCTCATCGCGCTCCCATCTCAATCTCTTCTCCACATCCCTTCCCGTCAAATGATTTTCCGCTCGGACTGCCCGCGACCACGGCCGGGGACCGTCCCCGACGCGTTTGCTTTGAGCCGTCGATGAAAACTTTTTTTGCGGCTTTGTGTTTTTTTTTTACACAGGCAGGCTGCGAGGCACGTGACTGCGCTGCACACATTGGTGGTTGCTGCTGCTGTTGTTGTTGTTGTTATTGTCGTCGTTAATATATTGCTCCGCATTTTTTGGGGGGCAACTGGAAGCTTGACAGATTGAGCCATCGCCAATGCCAACCGATGAGCGTTGGTTTAATTTTGGGGTTATTTGGCGAGTCGGTGGTTGTCGCGATCGCCGCGTTCTCCGGATTGTGAGACAACAGGAAGACGGCCACGTGGACTGGCCGAGGGGTGCATCTCACAATCCTGCAGCTGTTGCTCGTGCGTGTGAGTGGCAGCGGTTCGGTTGTCGCCGCTGCGCTCCGAGCCCGGCGACCCGAGTTCGATTTACAGCTCACGAACGGTAACAGCGGCGAATATCTAAGCCGGTCCTGGCCCATCCCCCAGGTCGGCTCAGTCTCAAATAATAATTAGTATCTGGTGCGGTGTGTAAACAATCGCCATTGGGGAGACAAAGGCGGCCCAGGCGTGGTGCTGGCCACCCACCCCCTTTTCGTGTGCCGTGCCGGCCTTCGTAGGTGCTCGCTAACAGCAACTTGCCCCTAACAGTCTATTAAAAGGCTGTCTGCGGGTATCGTTGTCTTTGTGTGTGACCAGACGCGTATAAATGTATTCACACCGGGGCACAGGTTTGGAGGGGTGCATCTTTTACTTTCCCGAGCCGTCGTATATTCCAGAGAATTCGGTGCGAACCAAAGAAACTGCTCAACGCTCTTGAACGATCTTCCATTTTTGACTGTTTCCTCTTCTTTGCTTTAAACAACTCTCTCCGCGCGCCGTTTAACTGCCGTCAATCTCAGAGGCACATCGAGCTCTTAAGAGCTAGGCTCGGAAACGTTATTACAAGTTCTGCCAGTTGAGAGATTGGACACAAAATGTGACATTTTTGACTCCACTTTGAAACCAGATTAAACATTATCTGAGAATCTTACATATAATTTCGGCAGAGTGGTAGACATTTTTCTGAATGTCATGACAGTGGGAAAGGATTTTTTTTAAGTGCATTATCTGGGATAGTTTCATGCGAAAAGTTACATGACACACCATAACTATGCTTTAACCCGGTACATGCTAATACTCTGCAGCACATTTATCAAATCCACTGCTAGATGAAGGGTTCCCAAAACTGTGTCAGTCACGGCGGGAGGTGTGTGGAGGGGGGGGGTGTTTGACCATATTTCACCACTACGCTGGTCATTGCCAGCTGGTGAAGAGCTAAGGGTGGACAGAACCAGCTTCAGATCTCACTCGCCTCTGCCACTGTCACTGCAGGAGCTCGGGTGCCGTTGGACTTCGTGTCGCACCTGCGCACACGCCACGGATGGACCTGGGAATCCCAAATTGTCTGGACGCGCGCCCACGGTCGTCGCGGGCCGGGCCGAGATATTTTTCTCCTCCCGACTCCGGTAATCGACGCAAGCGGCGAAGGAACCCGTTGTGGCAAATGTGGCATTCAATTGCGTAACTTGCGTTGCCCCAAAGCGTTGCGACGGCTCCCTCCGAGCGTCTGCCCAACAGTCACCGTGCGCACACAGAGGGAGAGAAAGAGAGAGAATCGCCGCTCGTCGCTCGCATCAACCCTTGCGGATGTGTGACGAGTGTTCTGACGAGCAGCCTGCGAGTTACGAGCGACCGAACAGTCCGCTCGCTACCGCCAAATGGTTTACCAAATGGGTCCACTTAAACTAAACTTTTTATTTTTCACCAGGTATAGGCCCCCTGAGCTATGTACCTGATTTTCAAAAGCGACCTGGCTATCACAAGTGACAGCTCAACGGAGTGGCTTATCATCGCGTGGAAATTTATAGCAGCCAAATACTAAAAAACGCGCGATGTTGATTCTAAATGTGGAGGGAAAAACCGGAGGACCCGGAGAAAATTCCACGCGACCACAGGGAGGGAGAGAGACACCATAAACTCCAAATATACAGCAGTGGGCGTCAGGGTTGGGATCGAACTCCCGACCTCCTGTATACCAGGCGAGGTAGTTAACATCTCCTAGCCACCATGATGATGATGAGAAAGACACGCAAACTCTAAATATACAGCAGTGGGCGTCAGGGTTGGGATCGAACTCCCGACCTCCTGTATACCTGGCGAGGTAGTTAACATCTTCTAGCCACCGTGATGATGATGATAGAGAGAGAGCAGGCAAACTCCAAATATACAGCAGTGGGCGTCAGGGTTTGGATCAAACTCCCGACCTGTATACCAGGCGAGGTATATTCTTAGCTCTTTCGGTAAAGTCACGTTGAAGGGAAACAATAAAATAATAAAATATATAAAACAATTAAATATATTTTATTGTTTCCCTTCAACGTGACTTTACCGAAAGAGCTAAGAATATGAATTACTGCAGTCACGAAAGCTTTAAATCAAAATTTACCAGGCGAGGTAGTTAACATCTCCTAGCCACCGTGGCAGCACTGCACACTGTGAACCCGGCATCCCGAGTTCGATTCCCGGCCACGGGCTAACAATCAGTGGCGAGTCATATCTGGACTGCTCGCACCCCACCGTCAGCCCACACCGACCGGCGAAGTGAAGTATGGTCAAAACAACAACCCCCGCCGCTTTACCAACTCGTTATGGGGAGGCCTTCATTCGTCGGTTGATTGACAAAGAATTGCTAATGATAAACAATGATAGCTTAGAGAATACATTTTCCAACGGTAATTTTTGCAAACGATCAAAGTGCAAGTTAATCATACAGACTTCTCATTTTAATACAACGTAACATTTAAAATATAATTTTCTTTCATCTTAGCATCTATAATGACCGTAACGTCAAACAACATCTAACACGTCTATATATCAATTCACAGCTAACTTAGCAATTAATAATGTCTGGCCTTTCTCTAGCTAATTGTGTTTACACAAATACAAGATCAAACAACAAAAAAAACATTAAGTACAGTTCGACTCTTTAAAATCTTGTGAATTAAATCACAGTACACCACCATCATTATCATCAGCCATGGTCAATCCACTGCTGGATGAGGGCCTCCCCAAAGCCGCCTGATGTTTATTACGTCGCAATCTTGCGATGTAATAAAACACTCTTAAATTACCTCCAAACACCGACGAAACTAATTCTAGATCCGAAGCCGCAACCTCTGATCTGTCAACACCACACAAGCGGGGCTCCACGATCCACCGCCGCCTTACACAGACCCAGAAGGTGCCCAAATAGCCTGTCAATGAAAAATTCACAGAAACACCCAAGAGCTTAATTTCTCACTGAATATTTTCCGGATCGCTCGTTGACCGGAGCGGGCGGGCGGGCGACTACGAGGATGTTAGCGGCCGCAGCCGGAGCGACGGGTATACTGGATGCGGTGTGCCGGGGTGTGTAAATGCTTGTTTTTTGAGATCCCGTTGCGGGGGGGGGGGGGGGGGTGGGCGGCGGTTGTCAATGACGCGATACCATCTCCACTACGCCCCCCCCCCAATCCGTCGTTTTGGCTCCACGTGTCCGCGATCTTCTTCCGGACAGCGAACTTGTCAAAAAAAATCTCCTAGGCCGCACAGCGCAACCGACGCGGTCGTGAGCTCCTCCGGCGAGCGATTCCCAGCACTCTCTCCCGAACGCAACTCTTCCACATTGAGACGGTGGCATCTATCTGCTGTATCGTTTGGGTGCCAGCGCGTGGCATTTTATACATGTACGTGTGTGCGTATACGTGTGTGTGTGTGTGTACGCGTCGAAGTGTGGGGAGAGAGGCGTATGCCCTCATCGTCTCGTGTATATTAATTTTCGGGAGATCTATTCAGGGAGGTTGACAGTTTTTGCGTTGTGCTCTTCCACCATTTTTTTCTATTCGGCCGTCCCCCCAATCGTCGCCGCCGCCTTTGTACGGAAACGGAGGGAACGGGACGACGTTTCGACGCCGCCCCCTCCCCGCTCTCGCGTCGCGGAAACTTTTTTAGTTTGTTTGTTGTTGTTTGTCTCACCGACGACTCCCCACAGTCCGGTGTCCCCCCCCCCCCGCCCCCGCCTGCTGTGGAGTGCGGAGTTCACGTCGCCCCAGTCGTCAGTGTCTGTCGCGTGTTCGTTGTCGGGGGGGGGGGGGGGGTTCCAGATTTTGAATTTTTGCTGGTTTGATTCTCCTGAAGGTTTCCCTCAGGGGGGGGGGGGGCGGGGGGGGGGGGGTGTTCGGGGTTTGGGCGGTTCGCCGTGGAATCGCCCCCTCGTATTTAGCGACGTCGACGCAGAGAGCGCTCCGTACTTTAGCGGAGGCATCGGGAGTCCGTCCCTGGATCCTCTCGGCTTGTTCGCGATGGTCGCGTTTTGGATACGCCCGGCCGGTTTACCGCCGAGGTCCTTGGGTTCAAGTCCTGGGTCCACGCGCGTCTCTGTGCGTGTCTGTGCGTCTCTGTGCGTGTCTGTGCGTCTCTGTGCGTGTCTGTGCGTGTCTGTTGCGCCTGTGAGGCTCGCGGTGGCTTGCCGGGAATTTTCCCCGTGCGATTTTAAATCTTGTTTTGCAAAGCATTTGATTCGACGGTGGGCGTGGGAGGACTTCGAAACGTATATATTGGCAGTCCAACACTCCGAGTTAACGACAAAAAATGTCTTCAAAAGATTCAACGTTGCGCGGCAGTGTTTCGACACGAATTTACAACCGTCGGTCCGGTGGCCGGGAATTCCACATTCCCATGGCAAGATGGGCTCTTCCCACCTGCCCACCGGCATTTTTGAACGAACTCGCAACCCTTTTGAAAGCGAATCAGGAATTCTGTAATGTGATCCACCTATTCATAATCGTCGCCGCCAGTCAGTCAGTCAGCCATGGTCAATCCACTGTTGGATGAAGTTGTCCCGGAAGCTGCCACCGGCCGGTAAATCTATTACCGTGACGTAAACATCGGTTCAATGATTGGGAAATAGAGGGTGACGTTGCAGCCCTGCCATTGCTCGCTCACGCCACTGGCGACGGGAAAGCCGCTTCCCTCTCTCGACCTCTTGAGACAGACTGAGAATGTACCCCGCATTCTTGATCCATTCCGCCACGCTGGTCCAGGCGTCTCGCAAGAGCGAGTAGTCTTGCATCCCATTGCAAGCGAGATGGACGATTGTTCACCGACCAGTAATGGAAATTGTCATATTTGAAGCAATGTTTTTATGTTATCGACCGGCGGCGGGGGGGGGGGGGCGCGATAAACGCTTCTTCTGATTTATGCTCAGCCTCTGTCGCGGTATCCTTGAGTGCACGTCATGTGTGTAGAGTGCCGTGGCCGTGTTTCCCCTCGAACGCTGCGAGCGTGCGGTGGTGTGCATGGGGAGGGGGGGGGGGATTTTCTGTTTGCGCGTCGCGAGCGGTTTAGCCCGCAGTTTCTGACGCTCAGAGGTCCGTCTGTCGCTCCGTCTTCCGTCCTGTGCTCTTCGTGCCGAAGGTCGAATGCTCCGGTTGGCTCAAACCCTTTGATGCCCCACGTATTATTCGTGGTGGTGGTGGTGGTGGCGGCAGTACTAATGACAGTGACTCTACATATTCAGCTGCTCTCGAAGTACAATCTTAATCCTTAAAACCCCGCATTAATCTTGACCGCGGTGAACCTACGCAGATTTCCGTATAGTCAGCCTTTAATAGGATAATGGACAATTTACGATGACCTCTGCCTGACATGTGAACATATTCCTTTGGGCTATCACAATACAATAATTATGTTTTGCCCATGAAAACAGCCTCGCTGTGGGTCTTAATATGAAGTTTCTGTAGGAGGGCCCTGCTGCATTGACACTAATGGCCATGGATTCCTTAATTAAAGAGAAAACCCACACAGGCGTACGAGCTGAGAACGCCAAATTAAAATCTTTACGGATAAGTGGCGACCTGCCGTACGTACGCATATTGAACTTCTTTTGCGCGGTATGAAGCCAACCATGCTAATCGGAGGTGCCACCCCATTCGCCACCTGAGCTAAATTTTTGGAGATTTGAATTCTGCACAATTGCCATTGATAGTAAAAATGATAATATAACTCGGTTTAGCACGCAGGCTTTCGCGAACAATATCATCCATAATGGAGGTTTATGGGTTAGATCGCGTAAATATAAAACCTGCCACCACCCGACATACGTGACAACCCTTACTAGTTGGCTGTGTCGGGTGGTGGTGGGTTTTAACGACACATTTATATATTTACGCGATCTAACCCAAAAACCTCCATTATGGAATATAACTCGGTTTGTACGATCAATGTTTCTCTCTCGTGGTTGGAATTTACGCGACATTTGCTAACTGTGTCGCGATACATTTTGAAGACTCACTAAAGCACCCCCCCCCCCCCCCCCATTACTTCCATCGCAAACATCGAACCGGCCGTGAGTTCCCGGATAATTTATAGAGAGAGAAAAAGAAAAATAAAGTGAGATTCTCACAGAAAAGCCGCGTTCCGTGAGCGGTACCGGATGGGTAGTTTTTAGGCTCGAATGCCCTCAGCATTCTCACTGAGAAAGCAGAACCGCGAGCCTCGGAACGGAATCTTGCGACCGTTTCAAAAGCCTGCCGCAGAATTTGTCGCGACGCAACCGCCCGCCCGCCCGCCACGATCAATCGATCGCCGTCGATTCCCCTGATCGACCAATCGCGGGGCCGGCGTGCGCATCGCTGCCTGCCTCCGAGGTACTCCGGAAAGGCGGCTGCTGACATTTGAACCAGGAGGGATGTCAGCGGTGCCGGTTCAACGCTCTTAACCCCCGAGCCACCTCCATAAATTAACAAACTAAAACTTAATTTTTATTTAAAGCTTTCGTGACTGCAGGGATTCATATTCTTGGTTCTTTCGGTAAAGTCACGTAGAAGGGAAACAATACAATCATAAAATAATAAACACCTGATGATGATTGCTTGTGTTGCAGTCGAAACGTCGTGAGAATTTGAATGTTTTATATTTTTATTATTTTATTGTTTCCCTTCTACGTGACTTTACCGAAAGAACCAAGACTATAAACTAAAACTAATTTGTTTTATTTTACCAGGTAAAGCCCACCGAGCTATCAGAGGCGCTGTGGCCACACATGATGATAGCTCATCATGGCAGTGGCTGATATCATCATCACCTGACGTGGGAATAATTCATAGCGGCAGACAAATCATGTGAGCGTGCGTTGTTTCTCAACGTGGAGGGAAGCAAAACTGGAGGGACCCGGAAATCGATCCACGCTTTGACCACCACGGGGAGAGAGAGATCACGCAGACTCCAGATATACAACAACAGGGATCGCCAGGGCCCGTGATCGAACGCACGTCTTCCTGCGAGCAGGCGGGTTTATTACTTAACATTCGCAGAAGGTATTCGATTCCCATTACATAAGTGAATTATATTATTGAGTTGTTTTCCTAAAAAAAAAATTACATTTAGTTATTTGCACCATAATTCATCACGCTATTGCTACCCGTCGTAATAAATTACAATCGTTAAATCAGTCCAATAACCGGATGAAAGTCCCCTCCCTTGCAGTCGTGGGGTCATCGTGGTTGTTCCATCGCCGCACTTTTGCCGAGGCCGTGCGACCAATTTTCCCGGCGATAGCCTTTCGCGCGGATTCATTGCATCAGCGCGTCCGCGATCTCGAGCGCGTGTTCCTTTTATGCGCTCGCCAAAATTAATTCCCCGCGGCAAAGCGGCGGCGGTGTTTTCGTGATCATGCGTGCGTGGGGCGAGCTGAGAAGTCAATGGGCCAGCGGCTATTGTTACAACAGCGCAGCGCGTACTGATTAAGAAGGGGGCTATGGCACACAACAGAAACCTGCGATTTCGACTGCATCGCCTCCGCCGAATAGCGGGGGACAAAAGGGGAGCTGCTGTATTGAGTTTCTCGTGTAGCTCGCAAGAAAAGTGAGAGCTTGGAGACTGGTTGATTGTTTTTTTTTTAAACATATTTAAAATTACACCGCGATGGAATTTATAACATTTGGGCAATAAAAGGGTCACGTGTAGATTGTAGATTGTACGCAGGTTTAAGATGTTCTCGTGGGGTTATTGCGTGCGCGCGATCTTCTGCATCGCGATGATTTTTCTCTCGCCGAACGCTTTAAAGTTCTTGGGGACGCTTTGATAAAAACAAAAACAACGAAAAAAAAACCCTTGAACTCCTGTTAACATCAGTGTCAAGAGGCAGACGTCACTCTGGGTGTTTTATGCAAACGTCCGCTGTCCTTGGTCCTGTTTGGCCACCGAGGCAGGCGTTATTTTTTTTTTTAAACCCCACTCCACTCGGTCACGATTATTCCACCCCGAGCAACACACGAAGGAGAGACAGCGGAGCAATTTGGTCGCCCAAACGGCCTCAGAAAGTCGCCGTAAATCGTTGCCTGAGGTGCAGCGGGGGCATTTTTTTGCTGAGGTCTATAGAGCGATGACGGAACGTTAGGATGTCACTGCCTGTGGAGTAACTTCCAGTTGAAATGCACAGTATGGACAGGGCGGAGGTGGTGGGGTTGTTGGTGGGGCTCCTTGCTCGATCCGGCCTGATAGTCTTCTCCGATTGGCCACACACTCATCGCGCTCTCGTCCACCATACAAAGACAAAACGATCGCGACGCTTACACGCAGCGACGACGGTCGTGATGTATAAAAACAAAAATGTGCTACGTGTGGACCGGGCTTTAGAATCTTCGTCACGATTGCCTGCGCATTTTATTGGGAACGCGGGTAGGCGCGATAAAAAAAATGTTGCGACCGTGACCGCTCGCCGTTTAATCGCTTTTGCCAACCTCTCGCGGTCACGTGCGGCACTGATCCGGTTGGGACGATGGTGGTGGTGATGGGGGTGGTGGGGGGTGGTGGTGGTGGTGATGGTGGGGATGGTGGTGGTGGTGATGGTGGGAACGATAGCGGCAGGACACCGGCAAGTGGCACCTTGCCAACGCATCAGCCGTCCATGTGTTGGGTTGACGTGAGCGACGGGTTCCCGGCAAATGACCGAGTCGCCACTGGCAGCCGCTGGCAGCTGCTGGCAGCCGCTGGCAACCGCTGGTAGCTGACCATCGCCAATAAAGTTCACTCACAGTGCGACGGCAGCGGTCAAAAGCGACCGATGGCTCTTGGGCCGCGTCGACACCGATACCTCCTCTTTCTCCTCTCTCTCCACTGCACAACCGAGCCATACCGGGACCGGGCTGGGGCCGGGCAAACCCCTTGCAGTACTTGGGATGCAGCAGTAGTCTTTTTTTCCCCACTTACAGACACCAAAGCGTGCCACTAAAGTAGAACATTTGTTAAGTTTACTGACAGCATGCAGTACAATGAGAATGAGTAACCCCCTCCTCCTGGCCCCGCTCGGACCCGAGTCAGATTCGGATGTGTTCTTGTGAGGTTATGGCTCGGCTTTCGCAAATTTCCAGTGAAAAATCGCCCGTACCGAGAGGTGTCCCGTGCTAGCGCGGCTCGGATATGTGCCAGTGAAAAGAAAGAGGGGTGTCAGGTGTGAAGTCTTTTACAGTTTCGTTCGAGAAACTGCATTCCAGAAGCTAGATAATATTGTGCATGAATACCCCACCCCTCCCAGCCTCCCATTAGAAGCATTTTGTTCAAAAGTGTATGATATGCCTTCATTGTACAAAGCAGGTTTTATACGAGACAAGTTTGTTGTCTTAAATGCCTTGAGCTCACATCCCGAGCTGTTATCAGACGTAGAATTTTTTTCCAGACTTTTTTGACGAAATCTGGCCCGGTCTGCCGTGAAAAAAAAAGGCCGGTCTTGGGTGTGTATGTGTGTGTTTTGTTTTTCCGTGAAAGATTTTGTTTAAAAAAAAAACTGCACTAAGTAATTAAGACGTATTTTTTTTAATACACGCATATATATCTCTATTAAAAAAACACTGTTAAAGTGGTAGTGGTTCACCGTTCGGTAGGATCCACGGACCTTTTTTTCGTAGGACCGCGTAGTTAAAGGCACTCGCGTTAACAGAGTGCTGTCACTTCGTTGTGGTGGTGGTGGTGTTGGTGGAGGGGTGGATGATCGTCCACGTGTTTCGCCTGCGGCACACCCTCGTGGTTCGCGATGGAGGGATGCAAAGCTGAAACTGTATATGCAGACGAGCAAAATATTTCTGGAGCGAAAACGGTCGCCGTGAAGCGAACGCGGGGCGGGTCAAGTTGGGAGGTCATTTGTGGCTATGGCCGACGATCCTGCTTCCCATCTGCTTCCATCTTTCCATGCATCCGTCTGTCAAATCTCGGGGCTGTTGGCACGTCCGCTCGCCGACCTCCCAAGGACCCCTGTTACGAGCTCGTTATCATCACCATCAACCATCATCTTCTTCAGCTGGCTTCAGGTGAAATGTCTTTCAAGGACCTCTCTTACAGGTCCTCCACCGCCTGGCTGAAGGTCTTCCCCTTGTTGCTCAGTCGACAAATCCTTCAAGAACCACTCTCACAGTCTCTCGCCAATCATCAACAAACATCCGGTTGTAGGTCGTCCAGTTTTTTTCTTCGAAATATGATTTGTGTTCCAAGGAACCACTCTTTAACAGTCTCGGCATCATCGTCGTTGTCGTCGTTGTCGTAAACACTGTCTGGATTCAGGTCTTCCCATTGATACAACTCCTTCAAAGACCGCTCTTACAGCCCCACCACCATCACCATTTGGCTTTCGGTCTCGGCAGAAGAAGAGAACGGTTCATATCCAAAAGATACTCTCTCCATGAACATTCTCGAAATGTGTTTGCAATAAACTCTGTGGCATCATTTTTTTCTCGCATTGAAATCGCCCAAGCGATGTCTCTTGTGACTGGGCGACACTAAGTGTAAAATCGTGCCATTCTTCACGAGTTTATTCATCCTTCACGCTTGTGATTAGAAATCTAGTTGTGTTTTTTTTAATACCGTGTTTGAGTGCCCCATATACCCAATCACAATTGTGTCAAGTGTTTAAAGCTGCCATGAGTTTATTATAATAATCAATGTCTCCGACCTCGGGTGGCGCTCGGTCACCGTTGGCAGTCGGAATTTCCACATTCCTATGGCAGAGACAATATGACAAACACCGTCGACTTCCCACAAAGTGGAACTCGCTTTATCCATCTAACAGTTTGATGATGATAATGATGAATGGGTGGAATTTGACACGCTACTACAACAACAACAATATATAAACTTCACGGCTTTTCACACGGTTTCTTTGGCCACGGTTAACCCAGGGTGCTTTTTCGTGAGCCCGGAAATATTCTGTTGAGCTCTCTCATGTCGAGAGGGCGATGCAAGGGGATGCCCGCACGCGCGTGCGAGCGTGTGAGTGTGCGCTCGTCGGAGGTCGGTTGGGAAGGGATTTGAGAAAGCGACCGTGGGAGGTGCTGTGGGGTTTTTTTTGGGAGGGACCGTGTGGGGATGGGGGAGGAGGGGGTGAGGGTCTCACGCCAGCGCTATCGGTGGACGCGTGCTCTGACAGGATAAAAGAAATCCGCGACAGAATTAATGATAAATGACGCTAATGCAGAAGGAAGCCAGTCGGCGTCAAGGGGCGGCCTAATATGGGGCTTTTTAGATCCACGGAATCACGTGTGACAGGAATCACTTTACCGATTTCAAAAGTTGTATTCAAAATGTCACAGCTCGATCCATGCTTGATCCATGCTCGAACGCATAGACACAGGAAGTGTAATCAGTCGATTCCCGTAAAAATACGTCGCTTTTTGTTCCAATATTCCTCATATGGGCAAATGCCACGTCCAATTACTTAATATACGGGCGTAAAACATGAACATACGTTATCATTCATTCTATCGCGGATTCATTTTATCCTGTTACAGCTCTTTCTGCCTCTCTGGAAAAGTCGCTGCCCTCCCCTCCCCCACCAGATTTTGTTCACGCGCGGCGAGACAATTCGAGAGATTCGTGGCACGTGGACGCCTCTTTGCCGTGCGCGTTACAAACTGCTGCACCGACTCATCACTTCTTGATCTTCTCTTTCGCCGCCTTTCTTTGTTGGCAGACTTTAAAACGGATGAATTTCCCCCACGATCCGCTTCGAGTTGCTCGCAAAAAAAAATAGTCGGGAGACTTTTTGGGAAACGCTGTACAGCAACGTATTTTAAGCTTTCAATTTTTGTTGTTGTTGTTCTTCGTTTCGTTTACCGCGTTGTGAATGAATGTACGATCATTCGCCGACATAATTGGAGTCAAGCCAGGGCCACCTCCCTTCCCCCGAGTCCTGACCAACTCACGGCGTCTTATAAACGCCGCAAGGGTCGTTTTCGAGATAATATTTGTCGCAACTCGTGGCCTGCCAGGCTTGTGAGGTTTCGTTGAGGGGGGTTTCTATTGCTCTGGCGCCTGCTTGTCGTGTCACGTGTATAAGCAAGCACATTCCGAAATGCCAACCACATTCTACCACTTGTTGAGGAAAGGTTCTTCAGATGAATGTACGGTATCCGTGTTTGTGCTCTTACCGGTCCAAGGAATGTCACCGACACTTGCTGTGGGCGGTCGCAGAATATTGAATATTTGTGGATTAACTACTGTATATGTACGCACGCCAACCCACTCATTGCCTTCGTGGTTAGTACTACATGTACGTATGTACGTTGAACTTCTTTCGCACCGAACGTAGCCAACCGTGCTCATCGGAGGTACAGAAGGGTTGTTGACCATTAAAGCGCTTACACTGATCTGTGACATAACGCGACAGCTTTAACACAAATATCCAGAAGCCCCGACACGTTAAACGATCCTCCAATATATGCCTCTTTGATGATTTAGGTCGAGTTGTCACGAGTTGCAGACGAAGTGGCGAAGTCGAGCTGGCAAGCTTGCCGTGGGTCTAAAGTTGAACGCGCATTCGTGCGTTCAACTTTAAAATCGACGTGACCTTCTTGACGAAACTGCAATTTTCTGGTTGAGCTAAAAGAAAAAAAAATGTCCCAAAATAATGGGGGGGGGGAGGGGGAGGGATTTCAATTGTCACTCCAACATGTTCGTAACGTTTACCAAACGGGCAATTGTACGCATCAGGAACTTAGCGCCGTGGGAATCAGACACGGGTGGTTTGGAGAGAGAGAGAAAAAAAACATTTTATTGACCCTTATTGAACATGTAATAATTTCAAGGACCGTTCACTCTTGCGATCTCACCACCACGAACACCGCCATCATTTTACTCTAGCTCCCTGCCTCCCCTCTTAACAGAAGCAATCAAAACACATCGCATGACGATGATAATTCCCAAACATTGGCGCCACTTTCTCCGCTGTGTTAAGGAAGAATTGGCTCACAGACGCACGCACCGCGACCCCCTGCCGTGAGAGCCGAGGTCAGCATTAAGAGAACGCGCGCGCGCGCGCCCAAAGGACTCTGCACAGGGCACTTCAACTCTGGGCTTATTTTCCAGGCCCGCCGCACGTAAAACTCCCCACGTGCGGTTTTTTTTCTTCTTATTCGAGTTGGGCCACGTGTGCGTCGAGCGATTTCCAGAACGCTCTCCGCCATGCGCTACTGCCAAGGTGATGGCGGTGGTGGTGGTGGAGGGGAGGGGAGAGGTGAGGGCATCGTCAGGAGTTTGAATTATTATAAGCCCCGAAGCCCCACACCCACGGAACGCTCCGCGTGAAACCCTCTGAAGCTGCTTCGTCGAACGGAAAGCTTTAACAATGTGACGGGGGACTGTGATCATACGGCGGACAGCGTAAATGCTTTAAAAAAAGAGAGAGAGAGAAAGAAACGGAGTTTATTGAATTGTCGCCGGTTAATGGTTTTGTGAATATTAATTCTTGAGTCACTGCACTAGTGATTTATTTTGATGTGCGTGCGCGCGTGTGTGTGTGTGAATGTGTGCGCGTGCGTGCGTGTCCATGTGCGTGTGTGTGTGTCACGTGCTGCCAGAACCTCTGGTGTGGTAATTGTTATTCTAACTGTTCCTGTCAGGTGAATTCTCGTTCACTCCCCCGTTGATTTAAATGTGTGTTGTGCCTGCAATTTCCTTAAGGCATTTGTAACTTAAATGTCTCAGACGACTACTCCTTGTTCATAGGTGCACCCAAAGCCAGGACTTTTCAGGTGTTCGACCCAACTGATGTCATCATTGTTATTATTGCCATTGCGGTGAGCTAATCTGCTTTGATTTGGTTTGGTGGAGTCGTGGTGCGGTACCGTGTAAAATCCTGGGTTTGGAAAGAAATCTTTATTTTGTAAAAACAAAAAAAGTGCGTTCTTCTACAGTTGTGTGGTTATGGGGGCAGTAAAAAATACTGATCGTGGATTCTCAATCCGTGAACGTGGCAGGGGCATTTATTTGCAGGCGAGCGATGCCCAAGTCACGCACAGTCGCACACGTGCGGCATACAATGGTAAAGAGATTTGTCATTCTGCGCCATCGCCAGCCATTATCCACCCGTGCTCCATCCACCGCTGGATGAATTCCCTCCCCATAGCGTGCGCTCGCGCGTCCCACGCGGCGCCACAACATGCCATGCCATCTCGCGCTCCGCGGAATCCTGAACTCTCATCGCTCCGTCTCAACCGTGGCGGGCGTCCTTAACTCTTGGGAATGGTCTCGTTCATTTTTTTGGCTGCCGTCGTTAAGTGCAGCCCCCCGCCCACCCACTGCCAGAGCCACCTCGAACTCCCGTCAGCGACGCAATGCCCTCCTTTGTGTCTTCGCTTTCTGATCCACGCGTCGCTTTCCTTCCGTCTCGGTGGCATTCCAAGCGTGCATTTCCAACCTCCCATCCCATCCCATACCCGGTGCTTGTCCTGGCAGCCACATCGTCGTCGGCTTTGTGTCAGCCTCCGTCTCGTTTCGGATCCGTGCATCGTAGCCAAGAGCATTCGTGGATCACGGGCCGTCCTTCTTCCCTCGGTCGCATCGATGCATTGCCGTTCACGATGGAGCTCACTCCTGCCCCTTGTTTTGTTACTTGGTTTCATACGACGCACGTTCATTTCTTTCACCCCCCCAACGTTACTCACAACCGGAAAACATCACGAAGTTTACGACCACTAAACACATTCCCACATTAGATGATAATAATAAGTTGTAATGAATAAAATGTTACGCAAAGCCGAACACACGTGCTAAGTAAAGTCCGCACCGTGTTTGAGCTGGCTGGAATTGTATTTGAGTAAGAAAAGTTTATTGAAGGTGTAAGTAATACTACGAGTGGTCACGTGAACATTTTGATTTAAAAGTAAAAGTGGTGTCTAGCTCTCCACAGTCCTAGACATTCCACGTTGCTATGGTGGGGGTGAATACATCCTATGAGATACACCTCTGTTGACTGCCGTCAATGTGGCATTCGCTTGATCAACCTCGAACGGACGACGATAATGAGTTAATTCGACCCCACCGGGGAATTGAACCCGTGACCTCCCGATTGGGAGTTGCGCCCCCGGAAAGATTTATTGCATCATCAGCCACGGTCAATCCACTGCTGTATGAAGGCCTATCCAAGCCATCACCATACATAACAATTTGGATTTGTAATTCAATCGCACCTTGTTGAGACATTACTCTCTCTGCATGATGATAAAAAAACAATCATAAATAAATTACAGCGCTCGGTCAATCTGCTGCTGGATGAAGGCCGACTTCACGCAGTGTCAGTCATTTGACATTTCTTTGTTACCATACTTCACCACGCTAGTCAGTGAGGGGGGGGTGAATGTGGGGGAGGTGGGGGCGCACTCCCAACACCGGTTCTGACATCACTCACCCACCGGTTCTGATATCAATCACCGGTTCTGACATCACTCACCCACCGGTTCTGACATCACTCACCCACCGGTTCGGATATCAATCACCGGTTCTGACATCACTCACCCACCGGATCAGACGTCACTCACCCACCGGTTCTGATATCACTCACTAGTTCTGATATTACTCACCCACCGGTTCTGACATCACTCACCCACCGGTTCTGATATCACTCACCCACCGGTTCTGATATCACTCACCCACCGGTTCTGATATTACTCACCCACCCGTTCTGATATTACTCACCCACTGGTTCTGATATTACTCACCCACCCGTTCTGATATTACTCACTCAAAGGTTCTGACATCACTCACCCACCGGTTCTGACGTCACTCACGCACCGGTTCTGACATCACTCACCCACCGGTTCTGATAGCACTCACCCACCGGTTCTGACAACACTCACCCACCGGTTCTGACATCAATCACCGGTTCTGATATCACTCACCCATGGTTCTGACATCACTCACCCACCTGTTCTGACATCACTCACCCACCAGTTCTGATATCAATCACCGGTTCTGACATCACTCACCCACCTGTTCTGACATCACTCACCCACCAGTTCTGATATCAATCACCGGTTCTGACATCACTCACCCACCGGATCTGACGTCACTCACCCACCGGTTCTGACATCAATCACCCACCGGATCTGACATCACTCACTCACCGGTTCTGACATCACTCACCCACCGGTTCTAATATCACTCACCCACCGGTTCTGACATCACTCACCCACCCGTTCTGATATCACTCACCCACCGGTTCTGACATCACTCACCCACCTGTTCTAATATCACTCACCCACCGGTTCTGACGTCACTCACCCACCGGTTCTAATATCACTCACCCACCGGTTCTGACATCACTCACCCACCGGTTCTGATAGCACTCACCCATGGTTCTGACATCACTCACCCACCGGTTCTGATATCACTCACCCACCGGTTCTGACGTCACACACCCACCGGTTCTGATATCACTCACCCATGGTTCTGACATCACTCACCCACCGGTTCTGACGTCACTCACCCACTGGTTCTGATGTCACTCACCCACCAGTTCTGACATCACTCACTCACCGGTTCTGACATCACTCACCCACCGGTTCTGACATCACGCACCCACCGGTTCTGACATCACTCACCCACCGGTTCTGACGTCACTCACCCACCGGTTCTGACATCACTCACCCACCGGTTCTGACATCACTCACCCACCCATTCTGACGTCACTCACCCACCGGTTCTGACATCACTCACCCACCGGTTCTGACGTCACTCACCCACCGGTTCTGACATCACTCACCGGTTGTGATATCACTCACCCACCGGTTCTGATATCACTCACCCACCGGTTCTGATATCACTCACCCACCGGCTCTGATATCAATCACCGGTTCTGATATCACTCACCCACCGGTTCTGATATCACTCACCCACCGGTTCTGATATCACTCACTCACCGGTTCTGACATCACTCACCCACCGGTTCTGACATCACTCACCCACTGGTTCTGATATCACTCACCCACCGGTTCTGATATCACTCACTCACCGGTTCTGACATCACTCACCGGTTCTGATATCACTCACCCACCGGTTCTGACGTCACTCACCCACCAGTTCTGACGTCACTCACCCACCGGTTCTGATATCACTCACCGGTTCTGATATCACTCACCCACCGGTTCTGATATCACTCACCCACCGGCTCTGATATCAATCACCGGTTCTGATATCACTCACCCACCGGTTCTGATATCACTCACCCACCGGTTCTGATATCACTCACTCACCGGTTCTGACATCACTCACCCACCGGTTCTGACATCACTCACCCACTGGTTCTGATATCACTCACCCACCGGTTCTGATATCACTCACTCACCGGTTCTGACATCACTCACCGGTTCTGATATCACTCACCCACCGGTTCTGACGTCACTCACCCACCAGTTCTGACGTCACTCACCCACCGGTTCTGATATCAATCACCGGTTCTGATATCACTCACCCACCGGTTCTGACGTCACTCACCCACAGGTCATATTTGCCATGGTCGGGAATCTAACGCAGGTTGCCAGATTCATCGTGCAGTGCGCTGACCGCTGTTACTGATCTCCTTCCTTGCCCAGCGATTCAGGTCGATATATCTGCAACTGTGTATAAACATACAAATGTCACAATTATTATTGTGCAATTATTAAAAAAAAAACTAGCGGCCAGTATCCACCCCCTATTGCCTGAAGGTCCAAAGAATCCATCTTCACACTTTTACTGCCCTTTTAGTAACAACAAAAAATCTCCAAAAGAAAGTTATATTTTCACACTTTACTCTTTTCTGTAATAAAGGTATGGCAAGGTTAATCATGTTAAAACACTGCGGTCTTCTCGTATTTTCAAATAAATGCTGTTCTTGCAGACGTTAGCAATACTACACCGTGTGTTTATGCGTTTGTTTTATTTCCTGACTCCTGTGTTGCCAATTGTTACCGGGTATCAGATGCACTCTGTCCCGCCTGTTCGGAGGCGACCTGGTCACACGTGATGACGGCTCATCATCACAGCGGCTGATTTCATTATCGCACGTGGGAATAATTCAGAGCGGCAGCCTAATCATCTCCAGGCACGTTGTTTCTCCATATGCAGGGGGGGGGGGGGTGGATGAGAGAGTGTGTTTGGGTGGATTGGAGGAGCGGATGGGTCCGGGTGGGTTTGGGTAGCGTGGGGTGGGTGCTTGCCCGGGTGAGTGTGGGTTTGTGGACGGGGATCGAGGTCGACGGCTGTCCCATGTCGCCCCATTGCACCGCGACCAATGGAGAAGGGAAGGGTGGTTGAGGTTGTTTCCTTGAATTCAGAAAATGCGGCGCAGCAGTCAACGCGGCGCGCGAAGCGGCGATCGGCGGGAAGACCGACTGTCGACCTCCCAAAGCGGTGCTCAATTCATGGACCTTGTTGCAAACGTGACCACCGATGTACGACGAGCCGAGTTGGCCTGTGACGGGGAAAGTTGAACCCGCGACCTTCCGAATGAGGGTCAAACGCTCTGACCGCCGCGCCACAGCGAAAACCTCAAAACTCCTTTGGGGCGCGTTTCCCACTTTCGACTCCCAGTTCCTCTTTGCGCATTTTCTGTGGGCATGATGAATTTGGAGTTTCTGCACATTTAGAATACTAAGAATCCTAAATATGCCTTTGTTTGATCGAAGCCATTTCCTGGCTAATTATGGACATAAGTTAAATTAATCTTAATTTTGTACATTTGCTATTCGTGCCATCTTCACAGGGCAAGGCTATCAAGATGGCGCTATGGTCAACCGATAGTCTGCAAAAGGGGATAGAGAGGGCAATGTTGCTATGTGTAATCCAAATTGAGTAACTTGTGGGGACATTTTTCAAATTTGGGCCGTGATGCCTGCACACAATAACCTACGCGCTTCGAACGCCGTCCGGGAATCTTGAACGTCCACTGTGACGCGATCGGCGCGTAATATTGTTAATGCACCCACAGTATTAACCAGGCTGGCCAACCGGATCTGAACCGGGAACCTGGGCACCACGATGGCGAGATGTTAAACTGCCTCGCCTGGTTTCCAGGAGGTGGTGGGTTCGATCCCGACCCTGACACCTGCTGTAATATTTGGAGCTTGTGTGCGTCTCTCCCCGTGATCGTGTGGATTTTTCTCCGTGTCCTCCAGTTTGTCCCTACACATTTAGAAACACGCATTTAGATTATTTGGCTGCTAGAAATGTCCACATGATATGCTACTTGATTGAACTATCATGTATGGCCAGGTCGCTTCTGAAAAAAAGTTAAATAGCTCAGTGGGCCTTACCTGGTGAAATGAAAAAAAAGTTAAGTTTTCTAATCTAGTTAACCTCTGCAATAAGCAGCGAACGCACGACCACTGTTCATCCAGCCACGGGCAGCAACAACAAGTGTGACTTCGACAACTCACAGGAACACATGGCGCAAACACACACGATTCGTGAAGGTCATTAAGATTTTTATTTATTCTTAATCATTATTACCGCGGTCATCTTGCACACAAACGTACTTCTAATTCTCCCGGATCTATAAGGTGCACTTTTTTCCCCCCTCTTATTTGAAAGTGAAAGTTTGGGGTTTGTCTCGCAAACCGAGAGGATGTGTCTGTGACCAAGTTTGTTGAACTTCATTGACACCGTGCATCGAACTTTCCGGAGCGTCTTATGATCCCGAGAGAATACAGTGTAACACATACACACAAGCTGAGATATAGCGTACACACCACAACATCACGTGTCCTCAACTGCCAAATTTGTCCTTCCCCACACTTTGTCCTTCCCCCACACCTCCGATTAGCATGTTTGGCTACGTATGGTGCGCGAAAGAAATTCAACATACACTTCTTTCTCCGCTATTTTTTTAATATATAAAATTGCTTTACACGTTGAGCGTGCGACACGGCCATCGCTTACAATCCGCTAGTGCTCGTCATTTTACTTTTTCGGCGCGCCAAAGTGGACTTCGTCATCGACGGCGGTGGCGGTGTGTCGGTCGCCTTCACAGGTTAAACCACTCGTTCATGTTACCCCTCCGCGTGTCTCCCTTCTTCCTCTGCTCCTCGTTCTCGCGGAACATCCGCTCAAACGCTTCCAACGACTCGGGGTCCTCCTCCTTGGTCTCTTTCTCGGGGAATAGGTTGGGGAAGGTGAAGGTCTGCCCTTGAGCCTGGGGGAGGCGCGCAGGATACACGGGGAACGGAGAGGGGAGCGGAGCAATACCGTTGACT